CCCTTAAATATTATTTTTAAATTAACAAAAAGCTTGCTAAGTATAATCCTTTTATTTTGTGCACTATAGTTTTTAAAATAGTATAAAGGAAGACAAAAAAAAATCTTATTTTAGCCTATGGAACTAAGTTCATAAACTCTAGACATGACCTAAAGTACCTTTTATGTATTTTTGTAACTTTTCTTCTTCTTAAGGCTATTTAGAGACACTTTGTATTTTTTGTGTCTCAAAAGAAACTTGTTACAAGTTAACTTAGATATTTCTGAGAAAAGCTCTAAAGACAATATGTCGAATGTGGCTGCAGTCAACTAAAAACTACTATAATGAGAAAAACCTACCAAAATGATTACAGCTACTATTCTAAAACTGGCCAAAATCAGTAAGTTCTTCTGCAGAGAACGTAACAACAGTGAGAAAGGGGGTAACAAACTTCTGAATCCAGAGAAATAGTCATTAGGTCCAGCAGCTGTTATTAGAGGCTCAGCTCTAGAATAACAGAATTGGTCTCAAACTGATAATAAGGCACTGACCAAAGTCTTTCCCCATTTCTGCACATATTCAAAGTTGGGATAATGGCCAAAGTGTTACCTTAAGTTTAGTGTTCATTTATAGAGACTGTTTTAATTACAGCCCTCTCTAATGTTAATCTGTCCACCTTTGACACAAGCCATTTTTAGGGGAAAGGGGAGAGGATGGGGGAAGAGGGGAAGGACAGAAAGAGAATACTTAAATAATAACAAAATGTTTAAAAGTTGAACTTGTAGGGAGCATAAACAACTCAATGATGTAATTTAGTACCAGTTCTAGTGTCTTGAAGCTCAGAGCAGGCAGTATACTAAGATGACTGTGAAAAAGATTAGGACTACCAATGCTTGTGAGTGAAAATACAAAAGAGGGAGGATGAAGAAAAATGCTACTGACAGAGCCAGAAAAACATCACTATGATTTACCTTGACTTAGAACAGATTTGCTAAAGTTCCAGAAAAAGTACAGCCCAATTTGCCTTTTATCACTAGAGACCCAACCTCTCCAAGTGCCCCGTGATTACTGCTCCTATAAGGGAAAGCATGGTGACTGACAATGACATTGCTGGGTCTCAATAACAGAAGATGACGACAGTCTTCAAAAAGCCCAACTGCAAATGTAAGTACTTAAGATGTGGCAAGAAAACAAATGTTAGATAAAATTGGCTTCAGTGAACAAATAGAAAATGATATAATCCTCTTTTAGGTAATAAAATTAACAAAGAAACAGAAAACAGTGTGTGTGAATGTTCCACTATCTGTACTACCATTGGTAAAAATTCTTTTATGATGCAGCTGAGCCCAGATGGAAAGTTAATAAATGACCGATTCTGTAAAAAGACAACATGAGACACTAACACAAAAGGCAGAACTAGATGAGGTATGGAGCTGCCTTGCCAGGACTGCAACCTACACTTAAAACAGCTGAGTTACAGGCCAAACTTTCTGCATTTCAAATTTTTTCTGTAGTCCCAGCCAGAGGTATAACTAGAAGGCTTTGTGACTTGGGAAAATCCTGCTGGAGAATTGGGGAGAGAATGTGCCCTTGAGCACTGAAGGGGAAGAAGTACTGAGAGCAGGGGCAGCAGGAGTCTTACCTGCTCTAGGGACACAAAAAAGCCCCATGCTAACTCCTGTTGCCACTGCACTGCACTGCACTGCACTGCCTGTCCTCCCCAGTTGTTGCTGCTACAACATCAGCGTAATGTCTGTGCACCCAACTACTGATATAACAGTAGCAATGTGGGGCTGCTGCTCCTAGTGCTTCACTTGCACCCCTCATGTTACACTAGTGGTCCTTGCTCTATTGAATATCTGAAAAGTTCCTTGTAAGGACAGAATCAAAGCTGAGTATTAAAATTATGACTTGCACTGAACCCAACAACCATGGGACAATATTTCTATAGCATTTTTCATAAGACTGGTTTGTAAAATGAAAAACAGGCCTGAAAAGATTACCTAGATTAACACAAACTGCATAGATCCCTCTTTATAAAATAAATTGTGACTAATTTTTGTTCTTTAACAACATTGCAATGAAATCAATATTTGATTAAGCCAACTGAAGCTGTAAAGCACCAAGTTAGAAAGTAATGCTAAGTTAGCAGTCAGCATTCAAAACATTATAGCAAAAGATATATTTAATGCACTTCTATTGCATCTGCACCAGCTAATTATGTCAATTACACAAATTCTGCTTCCTTTGTTTAAACTAGCATTCATGAAATTTTAATTGAAAAATGTGGGTATGATGAAATAAAGTGCTAAATGTGACCCGTGAAGTTTTAACAGTTACTGAAAGTAAGAAAAAAATTAGAGCCATAATATTGGATGGTACACCAAAATGAAACAGCCTGCTGGCTAATATATTATTCTCTTCTCTCCAGTAAGGTATATTACTGTCATCTTTCACAGCTGATTTGAGTTATCTAATTCTATTTAAGATTATAGGGGCAGTTTTACTGGCAAGGAAAAAAGTCACAACTTTTCCCTGACAAACATCTACCTTAAAAGATGTAACATATTATTGGTTGTGTCACCCTAAAGTAGTATTTGGCTCATATAAGATGAAATAGATTGGGGTATCAAACTGTTGGTAACAAAAAAATATCTATAGTGCTTTCAGTTTCATCACATTTCTTATTCTTGCTAAATATTTTGTAAGCTTTTTCTGTAACAGCTCTCCCATGAAAATTCTGAAACTGGAAATAGAAAGATAACAATTATGTAGGCTAAGGGCAGCAGGTTTGCCAAGTGATTACTACTGATTATGACTCAGCATTGCTTTCCTCTGCATTCTCATCCCATAAAACCATGAAACAGCTGGAAAAATGCAAACAAGAAAAATAATACCTTCAGACCTGACTACATCTTTAGCAAAACTGTGTGAAGTTAGGTTGTGGCTCTCAGTTGCATGTTTCTGCTCATTAATAGAACAAATACGGTTAGTCTGCAATGTATCCACATTAGCTTATTAAAAAATTCAAAATCCACAGGTTTTCCATCCACAATGCTTAAAAAAAAGTACACACATTTTGTTAAAAACACTTACTTTGAGAAGAAACACATCAAGTAATATAAAAAATGAAAAACAAAATCTAAAGTTGTGCAAACTCTATTACAGTAATACTGCTGACTATGAAGATGTGTTACTAAACACCCAACATGGGTTAACTTGGGAGATGTGTAAAGAGTGATTCAGCACAAACAAGCTCCCTTTCTAAAATACACCACTTCAGGATCAGAACTGATTGTTCACTCTCCACAAAAAAAAAAGGTTTGTGAGGGGACATTAATTCAAAGGGTGCTTTTAACTGTACTGTAAGAGGACAGAATTATGCATCTGCATAAGTTCTTTATAGCATGAGCAGATTTCACAAAGTAACACTCAGAAAGAGACCCTAACCCTTTTCCTTACCCCACTCTGACCTGCACAGGAAGATTCTCTGTCTGTGAGTTTTGTTTCTCAATAGGGCCAGCAACCTTACCCTCTGCCTCAAAAATCAAACTAATGATTTGCTAACAAAAACAAGAAACTGATACTGGGAACATTAACGTATCCCCCTGATTTAGTAAATTAAGTGTGCATTTTAAAACTGAATGATAACACTTTAAGTCTTTATTGGGTTTCAGATAACTTATTACTATAAACTGATGGAGAGTTCTAAAAGAAATCTATGGTTGCATTTGTAAGCTTATTTACTGCTACTGAATCAGAATGTCAATGGAATATCTACTTTTTCATGCATTTTTAATCCTGGTTCAAGATATTTTAGGCAAAACTGGAATTACTTCCTTATTTATAAAGATTAATTTTCTGAAGATTAAATAAAACTTTGCATAAAATGAAACTACAATGACGTGACTATGAAGGAACCAAAATAAGTAACTAAATTTAATGAAGACATCATGTACCCAGAATGTGGCTCCTATCTGTGATCTTAACTGTTTTTGGGGAGTACATTTTGCGACAAAGGAAGTTTCGATAATCCAGTCCATCCTACTTTTATTTCCTAGACTGAATTCCTCTCTGTTTAATTAGATTATTATTGTTTTATGACCTTTTCTAAGGATCAGAAGAGGTTCATTCTTCAAAACAAAATAGGCTAGAACTTGCTTAGGCCAACATATTAGTAATACAATTCGGGTTCATATATATTGAACAATACAGTTCATTAAACCAGTAATTTAAAATGAGTACGGAAGCTGGCATAGTGACTCAA